TTTGCCTCAGCCAGCTCCACTCCCTTCACTGCTGACTCTGTAGAAGCACCTCTCTCTACTACGTAGCTCTCCACGCACGTGCGGGTGTGTGCGTGTCTTTAAGAGTGTGTTATGTTGCAGGATAAACGTATCAAAATTCCTTGAGTCCTTTATTGTCTTTGAGCAATTCTTTGCGCAGTACAGTATACAAAGAGAATCTGTTTTTCAATCTCGGATTAACCGTGAATTTAATCTCTTGCTCCGGCTGTCACGCAGGGACTGCCTTGGTGGCTGCCCTTTTGTTTGTGTTTGAACAAGAAACTGGACTTGAAACTATAGAAGGAGGATATAAAATAACATCCCATATGGACTAACTTTGTCCCAAGGCTTGTTGTTTTTGTGGTTTTCTGGAATGCTGCCATTATTGGTTTGTTTGTTATGCACATCATTCACCAACCTCACTCACATTGGCAAAAATTCGGTGGACTAAACTATTCTATTTTAGATACTTTTAAGTTGAAATTTATGAATGTCACTTTGGTTTCCTGTGGGTTTTTTTTCTTAGTAACAGTGTTTCCTTGTTTCAGCTTCCTCAGAAACGGTTCACTTTATTTTTAATCCCTCTCTGTCTTTCATTCTTTCTCTCTCTCCCTCTTTAATCCGACTGTTGAAAAATAAATTCAGTATAATTCAACAAATTTGGGAACAAAAAATAAATAAAAGCATGCCCCCTTAAATTTCTGTCATATTTCCCAAAGAAAATGGCATTTGTTTTTGAAGTGTACATTCTTACATCAAAGTTATTTTGTTCTTTTTTTACATCATCATCAAAACAAATGTGATTGTCACATTCTCAGGAAGACACGTTAGTTTATTTTCATTCCAGTGGTAATAAGACATGTATGGGCATGACTGTCACATAACAGCAGGGCTCACCTTGTTTCATGGACCATGAGACTTACATAAGAGTTCACAGAAAAACTCAACCTGCCCCCGAGCCAAACGGGCTCTTCTTAGATGTGATGTTTGGGTGGAGTCGGTTGTCACTGTTTTATACTTTGTAACAGTGCAAACATAATGAGTTATTGTTTGTTTAAATTTTGGCTATCCAAGAAAGAGCTTAAACGCTAAATATCTGTCAGATTTAATTTGAGTGTTGACATGCACTCATGCTGTGATTCTCAAACTGTGAGTTTTCAAAGACTATTAATGGCCTGTGTCTGTTGCTGTCTGGTGTCCATGTGTCTTGTCCTTAGGGGACAGTTTTGCCACTTGGACAGGAATATAAACAGGAAGGCAGACCGTTGGTCACTTTGTTTGTGCCTTGAGGATCCAGTGCCACATGAGAGAGGGAATGTGGACTCCCAACCAGGGAAATTCCAAAGTATTCTGCATTTGGCCATTATCGCTCTGTGCACATTTTAACATCATCACTTCATTTCCACTGTATCTATTTTGTGTGACAGTTTGCAACAATGTATATCTATAGGATGTTGCCCTCTAGTGGATGTTTTGTGTGTGTGTATTTATGTTTTGGCAGCCATAAAAGAAGCATTTTATCCAGCAAAAGCTCAAGTAAATCTTCAGTTTCTCCCCAACAGTCAAGATCTGCTTCGTGGCAAACTAAATGTTACTCAATGTGAAAGAATCCAACTGAGGAAGCGTAAATCAACCTGTGGCTGTCTCAGCTGGCCGTTCTCATGCCATCAATCTGTCACTAGCTCCATCCGCGCTCGGCCCTTTCCCAATCTGCAACACACATAGTTTCCAACAAGATTTGGGTCATGAAATGGTTAAGGATGGGGTCGGACTGTGACAAGTTGCTTGTCCTATTGTTTGTCATCCCACCTGACAGCAACAAAGCGTACATTACAAATAAACCACAGCCTTTCTGACTCCCGCAGGTGCTGGCAATCCCAAATGCAAAGTGTCCATTGTGATGTGCAGGAGCAGTTCTCAGGATGTTAGCAGCAGGTCAGTAGTGTGTTAACACTTATGTGGTGCAGGATATTGGCATGTTTGTTTCCTCTTCTGGTGAGTGGGTGAGTGGAATATAAAAGAAATACTTTCTGCATTTGCGCAAGAATTTAGTCTTGTGATGTCATCTTAACCACAGGTTTTATTGTTCCAGGATTTTTGTTTACAGTATTCCTCTTCTCCCAGTGAAATTACTCCTCTGGTTTTATAATTTAATGATTTTGTGCTTGTCAGTCTACCTTTGCACTTTACTTCAGATGCTATTTTTCCTATTAACCTTCTTCTGTGGCACAATTGTAATTGAAATGGACTTTGGTTAGAGAACAGGGTGTGCTTCCCAGGATGCAAGTGCATTTTAACACCCCTGCCTAGCCTTTGTGCTGAGGGGTTTGAATCGCATGGCACAAAAATATATCAGTTTAATCCTGTCGACACTTGTAAATTAAATCTTGTGGCTGACATGTTATTGGCACTAACTTTCTAATCTAATCCAATGCTCATCAGTTACAGTAATTTAAAATGTAAAAGAAACAAACTAGAAACAACCACACCCATGATATGTAATACACTTTATCCTTGGTTTGTCAACAGTGTTAAAAAGCACACACCCAACCTTATTGCTAAGAGACCAGTAATGTGAATTTAGGGCAGCATTAAAAAAAACCTAGTCAAAATGTTTATTTTGTAAAATGTATCATTCCTTTTTAAAGCTTTGGTTCTAAACTTCTTTATTAGGCATGGCCAACACAGCATGGTCCTTGTCCCTATGGACACACCTGGTGTAAAGCTTGTCAGACCTCTCACCGTGTTTGGACAGGATGGTAGGATTATGTCTGTCATTACAGCTTCAAGTGCTATTTATATTTTCCTGTTTTTCCACAATATTGATTTCCTTTTTGCATGCAAACGTGACAAATGAGCTTTCCTGTGTTTAGATGCCATCCATGGTGGCCACTTTGAAGTGCACTTTGAAAACGTGTGTGTCCCTGTTGCCAACATTATTCTGGGTAAGACTCTATATTTCTGTGTGTTTCTGTATTATTCTGTTATTTACTCACATAAGGTCTTCTTAAGAAGCATGCTACACCTATAAAGCCATAGAAATATATTGTTTTTTATTGTCCTTTTTTATTGTGTTTGGACAATAAAGTTATACTGGTTTGACTATTTGTATGAGGTCACTAGGCCAGAGATATATTTTCCCTCCTGTGAGAATTCATGGCATCGCTTTCTGTTATGTCTCTGGGCTCTGTCCCACGGCGTATTTGTTTGCAGGCGAGGGGCAGGGATTTGAGATTGCCCAGGGTCGTCTGGGGCCAGGCAGGCTACATCACTGTATGAGGGCCGTCGGTCTAGCAGAGTTGGCACTGGAGTTGCTCTGCCAGCGGGCTGCCTCGAGGCGCACATTTGGAAAGAAACTGTACCAACATGTAAGTGAACATTGACCCACGAGATTCCTTCAACTTTTACTTCAGGGCTGTGGAACTGAGCTCTTTCCTGCTGTTGACACCTAGTGGACAGATTTTTAGATGCAGCTGTGTAAATATTCTGTCCCTCCTGTGTTTTCTATATGTGTATAGGAAGTCGTTGCTCACTGCATAGCAGAGTGTCGTCTCATGATAGAACAGACCCGCCTGCTGACTCTACATGCTGCTCGTGCCCTGGATACACTGGGTAGCCGAGCTGCTCGCAAAGAGGTAAAACTGTCTGTTTCGGACATACAGATAAAAAGATTTAAAGAAAAAACCAACACAAACCTCGTAGTCTCTGGAACCCTCTCAGTTCTCCCATAGGTGTTCAGTTGATTCACATAATTTTCATTCTCATCAAACCATTTCATATAGGACCCCTCATGTCCTGTATGAAATGGTTTAAATTAAGATTGTTGATTAACACAGTAAAAAAAAAAATATGTTAAAGCTAAGAAAAAATTAAGAATCAATGACGCCCAGCTTTCTATAAAAGTCTGTGGTATTAGTTGGCAAAATCTTTTATTAAAGGACCAGTGTGTAGGTTTAGTGGCATCTACTGGTTAGATTGGAACCAGCTGAAACTCCTTGCCTCAACCAAGCATGTAGTAGAAAGTGAGGTGGCTGACAAACTCAAAAAAAAATCAGCCAGTGTTTGGTTTATCCATTTTGGGTAAATACATGGTGGCTCAATTTTACAGATTCTGTAGCAGAATCTGCTCGCTTTTGTAGATTAAAAACACAATTCTTATATTATTTTATATAATAAAAACATGGATATGAATATTATAGATTCTCATAAATATTACACACTAAACCTTTTTAAATCACAAATATGTCAACTTGTTTCAACTCAGGGTTCAGGCATCAAATACCCTGATTAAGGTGTCTGTTTATTCATGATTTAATAAAGGATTTTCATAATTGCTATTCCCACTGCATTGTGGGAGAATAGTGTATGTAAACAGTGCACTCAAAGCAAGGTTGTTTTATTTAGTATGTTTACTGAGCATTTACTTCATTAAGTCACTTTTCCAGTATGTTCACTTACTGTTAATGGTGTGTCCTAGATTGCTATGATCAAGGTGGCAGCAGCCAGGATGGCCTGTTATGTGGTGGACTGTGCTATACAGGTACATGGAGGCGGGGGTGTGTCTGGGGACTTTCCACTAGCACAGATGTAAGTGTCCTTCCCCGTCCTCCCACAAATGAGCTTTAAATCAATCTGCTCCCTGATGCAATATCACCACATTCTTCCTCAGGTATTCATATGCGCGGACTCTTCGCATTGCTGATGGGCCAGATGAGGTACACCTCTCTTCCATTGCTCGTCTAGAACTAAGAGATCAACTAAAGAAGGCACAGGCCAAGTTGTAAAATAACTGACATCACATGGCCAGAACAGCTTCCCTAATTTTAAATTTTCCTTAAAAGCACTGATTTTTCAGCTTTTGTAAAATTGTTTTTGCTGCCAAAACACACTAAATGTAAATAAATGACATTATAATTTGTATATATTCTACTACAACTCCCTTTCATTCAAATCATTCCATTAAAATTTTCTGAATGTCCACATTGTTTGATTTAAAAATGACACTTGTTTATTAGGAATTCTTTTTAATGTGAACTACAAAAACAGAAAATGACAGCATGAATATGACTATTGTCATCACACTCTGTACGGGTGTGGTCTACCACATGGATGAATTCCATTGGGAGGTGATGGGGAATCAGGACACACAAGCACATTATTTTTTTGTACAATATAAAACAGCAATGGCCCCATCCATTTGATACACCAGATGGTAACCCATGCAACACCCTCCACTCATCATTGTCTATACATCAACATTTGGGCAGAGATGTTCAGCTGCCAAATCAGTCAATCTTTTATACAACACGGCGCAGAAAAGGGAAGAATGGGGAGGGAGGAGAATAGGCTGGTTTGGAGGTTGAGGGAAAAGACGTGTCAGTGTTTGCTCTTCTTTGATTTTTTGTGAGACCGGTGAGGTGACCTTGATTTGGAGCGAGACTTCTTAGCTGATTTCTTGGGCGTCCTGGAGCGCGACCTCCTGGATCTTTTGGGTGTGCGAGGTGAGGGAGACCTAGTTGGACAAAAAATACATTTGAATTAGATCTCAATGTTTCAACTCTACTAACCCCACTTAAATTAAAAGAAAATGGTGAAATGTAAGAAACCAAAACCTTGCTCTAATGACAACTTCAGGGGAAGCCCTGGACAGGAAGTCTTACCTCTTGGAGGACTTTTTGTTGCTAGATCGTGGAGAGTCTTTATGCGAAGAACGGGAAGATGTGTCTTTAGAGAATGAGCGGTCGGAGCGTTCTGATCTTTCTGACCGCTCGGAACGGGGTGACGATGATCGGCCTCGTCTGCTGCTACTCCGCGTTGGGCTGGGTGACCCACTGTGACGCCGCTTCCTATCAACCGAAGGGGACAAATATCTGTCAGACAGAAAGTTTAACAAATCCCACTTTTTACGTTGCACGCTCCGAGGTACTAGACGTGCACTTTATGGATAAACCCGACAACCTACCGACTGGTTATCTCACCTCTCTTTCCTGGTTGGTGTGTCCTCCTTTTCTTTTTCCTTCTTCAAGTCTTTCAACCGTGCCTCAGCCTTTTCCTTCTCTTTCTTCTCCCTTTCTTTTTCTCGTTCAAGTTTCTCCTTTTCTTTTTCCTACAGTAAAAAAGGAACCATGACCCCAATTTTGAATGACAACTTCTGTACTTTATATCATCCATTGTAAAGTCTGCAGAGCCCAACTCCATACCTTTTGTAGTAGTTTGTCCCTGTAGTGCTCCACTTGCTCCTGAAAACTCTGCCCAGGCTTCTTGGGCCTTTTCCCAGACTCCAGCTCATCCTGGAACTTCATGACTTTAACCTGGATGAACAATAAAAGGAAAGAGGTCAAAACAATGAATTTCATTTGCACACAAAACAACACAAATTGTGGTGTATGTTGGTACGTGTAGTATGGGGGTTTGTGATACTTGTAAAGTACCTCTATCTCTCTGAGCTTGGTGCGTTTTTCCTCATTCATCTCAGACATCTTGGCCTTAATATCCGAGTCATCTCTGATGGGGTTGGAGTAGCTTTGATTATCTTCTGAGCGAGGGCTCCTGTCATCATAATCACTGTCCTCGTCATCCCTTCAGTTATAAACAGTTTATAAAAAAAGGTTAAAAGGGTGCACAGATGTATTTGCAGTTAAGAACAGACAGTTATCCTCAAAAGACCGCACGCAGATACAACTTACTTTTTTGTTTCTTCTGGCTGCTCAAACATCTCCCATTTTGATGTTGTCACAGCTAAAATGAGCAAACAAAACAGGTGACATCAAGATTTATGTACTGAAATTAAAATTTAGGAGTGTGAGGCCACTTAAAAAGGTCTAACCTTGAGCTTCTAACTCTGCCTCATCCACTGCTTCCCATTTCGAGGGTGCTACCTTGAACGTTGCCTCCTTGGACTGATCCACTATTAAAAAAAAAAATTTATTAAAAATCGAGAAATAAGAAGTAATTGAGTCACTATACAAGAGCTGCATACAGATCATATAACAACATCAACAACTACATTTGCTTGTCTCTATACCACTCACAAGGTATTCCATCTATGTCTTCTTCCATGGGCTTGATAGGAACCCCATCTAGGTCATCCAGGGGGGCTCCGTCAATTGGAGCTCCATCAATGGGCCCTGCGTCAATTGGCACCCCATCCACATCCTCCAGCGGAGTGCCATCTACATACTCCCCTATTGGAGCCCCATCAATGTCCTCTGCTGGCTCAGCCTGGGACAAAACCGGCACAAAGAAATTCTAGCTCTGATTTAGTAACTGCTAGGTTTTGAAAGCTATTAAGTTATGACAATTTGGTCAAGTATTGTTACATAATTCACCTCCACAACGACAGCAACAGGTTCCTTCTCTGCAGAGATATTAACTAGACCCAGGAAGATGTTCTGCAGCTTGATAAGGAAGGGGTCTGGGTACACAGCCCAGTCCTCCCATGCCCGGAAACATGACATAACCCTTTGCTGCCACAAAGAAACCAAGACAAGGACGGTTGAGTGACATACTGTAGGTGACAAACTGCTTGTGTAAACTATTCATTGTGTTAAGTTTACTTAGCAAGAGTTGGACATTTGGTACCTTAAAGTTCTCACTCTGAAGGTGACCCTGTATCGCTTTGTATGTCGCATTGAGGTCTGAGAAAATCTGGCAGAGCTTTGCCTCAAAACTGTTAAGAAGGTAAAAGCATTAATGTGAATTCTAAACAGAAATAGTGACTTGGGTATACCCATCTGAAATTGACAGTGATGTGTAATATAGTCCAAGATGGACAAAACTTACTATTTTCTGTAGTAAGACGCATTGGTTACTTTGGCAGAAGAGTTGTACAGCACATCAGAAACCAGATATAACCGTGCAATCTGAAAAGTAAAAATATGAACTAATCTTTAAATTGTCTACAGAATTTGACATTCATGGAAGTTATTGGTCCTTTTTTTAAGCAGACGTTAGCGCTATTATCTTGCCTTCTTGGGAAGAGGGGTCTTGAGGATGGAGAGAGACTCTGTGACACACTCCACAATCTCTTCAGCTGCTTCGGCGTGGCTGAGACAAAACAACATGGCTTCTGCTATGTCTCCCCTCCTGGGCGTCAAACCACGCAGCATCTCCTCTAGTTTGTCCCGCTCTCTGCACAGATGAAGGGCAATTAAGTGTAAATCTATGGAATTGCAGGTTCACCAACAACAGGGCATTTTAACCCAGTTTGATGAATCAAAGAGATGTTTTTAAGGAAACGTTCTTACTCTTCTTTTAGGCAGCCTTTCTTGGTGCCGTCCTCCTCTTCCTCCTCTTCCTCACCATCATCATAAGGCCCATGGAGGTATGGATTAAGAGGAGGAGGACGCCACAAAGAGCCATTCTTAAACATCCTGAAGTCATCTGTTCGCCATTTAGCTGGTGCTTCACCCTGAGCGAGTAATAATTTACAGTAAATATTAAACCTGCTCGACTGTGACCCCAGCACAGTGTTTTTCTTCAATGCGGGCTGGATGCCACTGAAATTGTGTACAATTTTTAAAGATAAGAAATCAAACCTGTAGTATGGAGTAGAGCTTCCATCGGTAGTATACATGTGCTGGGCTCTGGTTCTCAAATAGAAACCTAGAATTAGAAAAATCAAACATGAGCATATGGATCATAACTTTATAAAAACTACTTACTACTGAAAGAATAAAAGTAAATACATTACTAATGTGCAGCACTGACCTGTACATGGGGTTGTTGATTTCTCTGTTCATGATCATGGCTTCAAACATTGGGCCTTCACGCACCACAAACTCGATCATTCGGTGGATGAGAGAGAGCAAATTCCTACAAGAAAAACACAGTTAAAGCAAACGGATTCAGACTGGCCGGACCCTTGACCACTACCATAAGCCTGTCTCTTCATTTAATTTATGCTTGGTGGTTTGACACTCAGAACAGTTGTCTCTTCACAGACACGATGAATGTTTAACAAATGTTACAGGGCGGAACTGCAGTTGTCACGCACAGTAGGCTGTAACTGAGTAATGCGCTGCCATGGTAATACTTGCTATAAAAAAGGTACCTGACAGAAGATGTCACCTAAATGACTCAGCCAAAGATATACAATAACATATTTATTACGCATCAACTGAGAAGGACGATGTGAGACATAACTGTCTGAGAGTGGCATGTGACCAGGCATAAATTAAATGTAACTGTGACTATACCTCTCAGCCAATGTACAACATCAATGCATAAATGCTGCCAAAAATCAAAACTTAAAATGACAACTGATGAAGTAACAGTAAAACGTTCATTAATTAAGAATTAAGTTTTAAAAGACTAACAATTCAGGTAACAGTAGAATTTATTTTAAATTATGCCTAAATTGTTATTAGTTCATGCCTGTGTCCTTTTAGGCTGCAGAGCAACAGGTTTTAATTACATTGCACTGCCTGGACCCTTTCTTTGAAATCTTCCTAGATTCGAACTTCACAAAAGTAAAGCTGAAGAACTTGGGAAAGTAGGAACGAGACATTGACAAGACACTGCATTAACTGAACACTGTCAATACAGTGCCTTTCAATTCCCACTCTTCTCCTGACCAATGTGAAGTGAGGAAGAACCAAAGCAGTATAGGATTGTTGGCCTAAATTGACTAAACATGTTATCTACTGGTAGAGTTGGTAATGACTGAATACAGTGCAAATGGGATCACCAAAGTTCTTCTGTGACAATTTTGGGGAGATACATGGTGCAGGCTGCATACAATTAGCCTAAATTGGCCAAAAAGACAAAGGATGTCTTTCATTTGACAACACAGATCACATTTACTTGTATTGGAGCCGATCGTACCAATGGCGGGGTAAAATTCAGTATACTTTCCCAATCCATCCCATGAGGCTTTTCAGGTCCCTCGCTGCTGCAGACAGTTCAACTTGTGCTGCTCACCAAGGCCAATGTCAAAGGTCATATATAGACTAATACTGGCAGGTTTGGATTTGTTGGCAGGGGCCAGATTTACTGAGCTCCCAGTAGTGACAGAGGCCAAGGGGGTAGACGGTCTGAGTGAGCAATGGTCAGAGAGCAGGATTTCACAACTACAGATCTAGAATCAGCAGACTGTGTATGTGGAGTAACATGTCACTGAAGTTGAAAAAAAAACAACACAATTAAATGTTGATGTATGGAGTGAAACTGTGATGGAATAAAGTCATGATGTTTGGCTCCAAACAGCACATTATATAAGCACTATAATGATGTTTTTGCTACATATTTATAAAAAGGAAAAATGAGTGATGGTGGAGTGTGAAAGAGCAAGGTACAAAAGAAACTCGTCAAGTCAGTATTATTCTATCTACTAATGATGACATTGTACAATAGCCTCAACCATTGCTCACCCATACTGACCAGCCCCCTGTAGCATGCAGTGATCAACTGATCAAACTTTTAGCTTCATTATGGGATGTTTTTTCTAAGTTTGTACACCAATTTAAAAAAAGAAAAACATGTACCTTTCTGTTGGGATAACCACTTTGACTATGGCTTGCGACAGAGTCTGTATATGAAGTCACATCAGATAATAAACATAGAATGTGAGTATTGTTAAAAGGCAACAGGTGAAAAATATAAAAAATGCATTTAAAAGTGCAAAGACAACAACTTTCCTTTACTGCTGTCAGTTTTACTAAAGGCCAAACACCCCTGACACTGTATTCATTAACCATAAACACCTCTCTGTAACACTGAGCATTTTCCACACGCTAACATTTCATTATACCGACACTTACATACAGTGCAAAACTAATTTAATTCAGTCAATAAGACAATAACTAGAGCTTACAGAAACTTGGATTTAAACCTGTACTGACTACTCATTATAAAGGCTAATATCTCACCAGCTGCATTAACAAAACACTGCCATTAACCCATGAGAAAATCCTAGGCTGACATGCTGAGTTACCTTCTCAAACTCCTCCTTGTTTTTAGGTGGAGGAAGCAGGGGAGCATTGGGGTTCTTTAGCCTCTCCCGGGGCTGCGCGTTGAAGGGTAGGCCGGAGGGAGGCGGTGGGAGTGTGTGCTCCATCATGGAAGGAGGGATGTAGATGGGGTGGGGTGGAATGGGCACACCTTTGCCCCATCCTAATTTCATCTCAAAGTTCATAATCATCTTTCCTATAATTGGAGTAAAATATATATATTTACAATGACTGGAAAGAACACAAGTATGTAATTGATTTATTTAATAGAAAGAAATACAACTTTGTACCATTTAGGTTCTTGAGTGCTCGCTCAGCATCCCTCCTGTTCATGAAAGCCACAAAGCCACAGTTCCTCTCCCGAGCCCTCTCCTCATCTGTCCTCGGCCACATGATCTTCACACTGGCCAGCGGGCCATAGCGACCAAACTCTTGACACAGCATCTCCTCATTCATCTATAAAATAACAGAAACATAGACAGAGAAAATTGTTAAAGCACTTGAAATTAAGAGCACAAGCATCTACTGTTATGGTCTTGCTCTATGTTATTTTCAACCAATAGCAAAGCAACAGACTCAAACCAAGCCCTCCTGTTCACATCAAAGCTGTCAGTCAGTCCCTCTTCTACACTTCAGAAACGTTTGAACACAACTTCACCTGTGGGTTGATGTTTCCGAGATACAAGTTAGTAGTGGATGGGTCTCCAACATCATGGGAACCTGGCGCACAGTCATCCAAAACTGCAGAGACAGAAAAGAGAGAAGAATTTCCTACTGCTGTCTGACAGGACAACCTATTTTCTGAGCAAGATGAAGATATTCACAGCCACTATATTAAGTCAAAATTACCACTGGACGGACGGTTTCTTCTTGAAGAACCATCCGCTAAAAGAAGCAGAAAAGCAGTATAAATTTTGTTTCAGGGGAAAAGTGGACAATGGGTGTTTGGGGAGGGGGAGTAAGGCGTGCAGGACAGGGCCATTTTAGGCCAAGTTAGTACATGGAACACAGTCGTGTCATCTGAAGACACTCACATGAACGTCTTCCGTCCGTGCCCGAGAGAGGTTCGAAACGACTAACACGTCCTTTCATCTTGTGTCTTTCATCCCTTTCCTCCTGTATTCTGCACAAAACAGCATTTAGTACAGTTAAATTCAACCTATGTTCAAAGTATTACGGGTTTTGTATTTTCACACCATACCACCGGAGAACTGCTGGTTTTCAGAATCCTAAACAATTCAAATGTTTAACAGATTTATGTGTTTAAACTTACTGTTTAAGTTCTTCTTTAAAGAGCTCCAAGTTGCTCTTCTTCTTTTCCTTTTCAGTAGTTTTCTTCAAAGACTAGAATACAGATATGGAAATATTATCAGTACAGTAAAAACAAAGCATTACTTACTACAGCAGTAACAAGAGACATGACTTGTTCACTGTCATTGTACTTACATGTCTTTTGTCTATCGCTAAAAACTGAGGTGGGGTTTCCAAAGGCAAGAAGCTTTTTGTTTGGGTCTCAAAACGTGACTTGGGCTTGTACAACTTTCCTTTCTTCTCATCAGCAGCTGCCTCTTCTGAAAGGAGAACAAGTGTGTTAGGACTTCAGAATGTAACTTTATTAAATCATGGATGGAGGATGTTGTGAACTGTGGTTGTGCCCGAACGTATCATGCAATCCATTTGAGAAACACATAATAAAATAGAGAGATGTTGTACCTTTAGTTGCATTTGCAATACCACCACGGACAAAGGCCTTGACTTTGCCCTCTCCTCCTCCTTCGAAAGCAGCAAGAAACTCCTCGTAAATCTCTGCTGCCGCTCGCTCGTCCTCCTGAACAAAGAATCCAGTGTGAAAATGCATAAACACATATATTACATTACAGAGAACCATCTTTATAAAATGTGTACCCGGTCACCACAGATGAGATCAAAAAGGAAGCCAATACTTACTTTTTTCTTAATTTCATCTTGTTCCTTCTTGCTTAGGGTCCTCTTTGCAACTGCCATTTTTCCAATGCTGAAAGACTTGAGTTTGCTCTCAAGCAGCGCCTGTCGATGTAAACAAAGCATGGTTGGTTTTTCCAACAGGTTATATCACGGTCGCATAATGTAACGCTAAATCTGTGCGCATATAACACAGTCAAACCATCCCACAGATAACCACTGCCCCGGGTAGTGTTAATTATTATTCAAACGATTGCTTAAGCATGACAGCTCATGTTGACAGCTAAGTTCAGCGAGGGTTTATTACCGCAACACCACGCAACTCATGCTACACTACAAAGTGTCCACTCGTCGTTTGCGAGCATTGGCCAAATACTTTGATCGTCGTTCCGTAAGTTGCATTTACTGCTTAGTTGCAGACAGACCCGAGGAAGTAGCTATCGTTACCTACAACAGAGCAAGCAAGCAAGAGGCCTAACAAGCTGGTACCTGCTGCAGCGCCACCGACTGAACGCATTAAGCGCCGAATGACTGTAACACGGAGCTGAAGGCTGTTAGGCCCCAGTTCACAAATATTTAATGTACAATTTCTTAATTCAAACATATATCGCCTGAACTTTGTGCTGAAGACTTATCGTGTCGGTGTCAGATGCTTAGCTGTGCGAACAACACTCCTTTCTGGGTCAACTGCCCTTTACTATCCCTGGTTATGGTAGCTAAATCTTTAGCTTAGCTTAGCTTAGCTTAGCTTCATTAGCCAGTGTGGCCGGAGAGCCGACGGTTAGCTTCAGCGCGTTGCTAAGTTAGTTAGCTAACACCGTTGCGCACACTCGTAACTCTTGCCTCTTGCAGGCTACAAATATATAATACGTATTGCTGTTCAGGCATACTGTTATTTACATTGTTTTCGTTACGACAGATGAGACCTAGCTAATGCAAGAATAAACGGTAAATTCACCTTAGCGCTAGCTTTCTGAGAGCCACCAGGCGCTCGGTCCGCCATCTTTTGTGGAACTAAATACAATCGATCATCGATTAGAAGATAGCGGCAAACGTGAAACTCCAGGCGACACAGTCGAACGCCGAATCAATGATGGCTAAACTTGTTTTGTCGTTCTCTCTGCCACAGCTGTGTGTTTGCCATTCCCAGTGTAATATAATATATATAATATATACAGTGTATATGAGGTGTTTATAATGCAACATAGACTGGAGCCGTGTATTAAAAAAAAAATGCAATCATTTTGAGAGAAGATTTAGTTTTATATGCTAAATTAAAACATCTTTACTTTTTAAAGTTGCATGTCACAGAAACTATAGATGTGTACCTTCGCGTTGACCTACAGTACATACTTAGGTAGCCTAACGTAAAGTCTTAATGTGTATCCAGTCGTATAAGTAAATATATATGAGCTATAATGTAGTTATTAAGTAAATACCGTATTTACTCCAGCAGGTGGTGCTCTCGCTCTCTATCGCTCCCATTCTTTCTCTGCTAGCAGTCTAACCTGTTCCTATTATTCATACAATAATATAAATACATATTTTTAATGATATTTCAGCTGGTGTAAAAAATCTCCACCCCTGTTACAGAGTGTCTTCTTTCACTCCACATCTGGATAGTCCCACATTGCAGTCACTGACTGGGATCTTTGCCGATATAAATGTCTCTGCCAGATGTACATGGTCCATATAATTGAAATACCAAACCATTCATCTATGTTTAATGGTTCAAGTTTATTCATGTCTCCTTTTTTTCAATGTTTTCCAGGCCAGGTGAAACTAATGCGAGACCTCACACCCATCCAGCGCTTCATTAATCGAGGGTTTTTTTGGGGGGGGAGCAGCAGCCTTTGCTCCGTCCCTCCTACCACGCAGAACAAACGCTATATTCATCTGCTCCAGCTTGCAGTTACTGAAACTGCCCCGCAGGAACTCCTGGGTACTTTTCCCCACCGCTCCAGCTGCTGAACACAATGCCATTCATGCCACGGGGCGAAAACAGGCGAAGCGCCCGCTCCGTTAACCCAACAATGTGGAGAACATGCAGTATTTTTTGCGCATGGAGTCTACTGTTCTTGACAGAGGTCTGTGCGCAGTCTCAGCAGAGGTACACATTTATTTACATGTTGTTTTTAATTGTGAAAGCTTTATGAGTGAGCAAGGTGTCAAGGATCTCGTCTAGCCTCAGTGGACTGGAGTTTATTCAGAGGGATATTCTGCAGTCTGAGCTGCCTCCAGTCAGGACCTATGGCGCATTAAATGAAAATCTTGTGTTAAATCAACTGCAGGCTGTCGTTAACGTGTATGTGCTGTTTTAACACATCATCATTTAGACCAACCTTCACATGCGGCGGAAACATAACAGGGGATTCTGGAGTAATCGGGAGCCAGGGGTACCCAGGAGTTTACCCTCCAAATACCAAATGTGTGTGGAGGATCACAGTGAGTCCCATTTTATATTCCCATATTTTCCTTTTTCTACCATAGCCAAGAATTATGATGATGATAAAACTGATACTATTCATCAAGGAGCTGCACAATAAAGTAATATGATAATCTTTCACTAACCCACTTCCCTCTAAAAAAAATACTTAACCACAGCCAGCTCAAGGCTTTTGCTCTATTACATTACTGTACATTCAAGCAGTCAAGCTGATAGTATGGCTGGATCAAATTGCTTTTAGACTGCTCTACATAAGTCAGGCTTACTGTGAGGAAATGTGCAGTCACATGTGGAAACCATTGTTTTACTGGACATCTGTGAAGTAACAAGCCAGTATCCATGGGAGGTGTTACATTTTATTGCTCTAAGTAATAATGATAATTACTTGAAATTGACCCTTAATTCCCACCCAGGTCCCTGAGGGAAAGGTGGTGGTCCTGTCATTCCGCTTTATTGACTTGGAGAGCGACAACCTGTGCCGCTATGACTATGTGGATGTTTACAGTGGCCATGTCAATGGGCAGAGACTTGGTCGCTT